TGGCCAGGAGCAGCCACTGCACTCCAGTCTGGGTGACAGAGTGAGACTTCAACTCAAAAATAAAAAATAAAAGATTGCCATGTTAATGAATCAAAAGAATTAATATTGTTAAAATAATCAAAAATAACCATGTTGCCCAAAGCATTCTATAGATTCAGTGCAATCTCTATAAAAATCCTAGCATCATTTTTCACAGACTTGGAAAAAAGAATCCTAAAATTCATATAGAACCAAAAAGAGTCCAAATAGCCAAAACAATCCTAAGCAAAAAGAACAGAGCTAGAGATATCACATTACCTGACTGCAAAATTCATCTCACAAGCTTACAGCAACCAATACAAAATGGTAATGGTATAAAAATAGACACACAAGTCAGTGGAACAGAATAGGGAACCCAGAAATAATGCCACATTTTACCACCAAGTAATCTTTGACAAATCTGACAAGAACACATGTTGGGGAGAGGACACCCATTTCAATAAATAGTGCTGGGAAAAATTGAATTGCCATAGGCAGAAATATGAAACCGGTCTATCTCTGATTATCGTATACAAAAATCAATTCAACATGGATTAAAAACTTAAATGTACGCCTGACACTATAAAAAATACTAGAAGAAAATCTTGGGAAAACTCTTCTGGACATGGGTCTAGGCAAAGAATATATGACTAAGACCTCAAAAGCACAGGCAACAAAAATAAAAAGACAAGTGAGACTATATTAAACTAAGATACATCTGCACTGCAAAAGAAGTACTTAACAGAGTGAACAATGTGCAGAATGGAAGCGAATATTTGAAAACTATTCACCAGATAGGGGGTTAATATCCAGAATGTAGAAGGAACTCAAACAACTCAGCAACCACACAGAAAAAAAGCAAAACAAAGTAAATAATCCCATTGAAATACACATGAATAGACAATTTTTAAAAGAAGACACACAAATAGCTAACAGGGATGTGAAAAAATTCTCAACATCACAAGTCATGAGAGAAATGCAGATTAAAATCACAATGAGATATCATCTTACTCCAGCCAGAATGGCTACTATTAAAAAGACAAAATAACATGTTGGCGAGGATGCAGAGAAAAGGGAACTCCTTTTTTGTTTGTTTTGAGTTGGAGTCTCACTCTGTCACCCAGATTGGAGTGCAGGGGCCGCTCCCGGCCACCGCAGCCTCGACCTGCTGGGCTCCGGCGATCCTTTCCGCCTCAGCCTTCCGAGTAGCCGGAATTACAGGTGCACGCTACCACGCCCAGCTAATTTTTTGATTTATTGTAGAGATGAGGTCTCACCTGCCCAGGCGGGTCTCAAACCCTCGGGCTCAGGCCATCCACTCACCTCAGCCTCCCAAAGGCGCGGGCTGACAGTCTGAGCCACCGAGCCCGGCTGAGAAAACGGAACTCTTACACAATGTTGGTGGGCATCTAAATTAGTACAACCTCTATGGAAAACAGTATGAAGATTTTTTTCCATAGAATTAAAAAATAGAACTACTCTGCAATCCCACTACTGGGTATCTACCCAAATAAAAAGAAATCAATAAATCTAAAAGATGCAAATAACAAGAAATCAATAAATCCAAAAGCACTTGTATGCTCATCACAGCACAACTCACAATAGCAAAGATTTGGAATCAACCTAAATGTCCATCAACAGATGGCTGGATAAAGAATACGCAGTGTATATTCACAACGGAATGCCATTTGAGCCATACAAAGAATGAAATAACATCTTTTGCAGCTCCATGAAAGGAAACTGGAGGTCATTATCTAAAGTGAAACAAGTCAGATACGGAAAGTCAAATATCCCATGTTCTCACTGATAAGTGGGTAGTTCTTGTGTGTATTTTTTTCTTTTAATGAGTACACAGCGATGTAGAGAGTGGAATGCTAGATAATGGAGACTCAGAAGGGTGAGACAGGAAGGAAGGGGTGGATGATGGGAAATCACTTAATGGTGACGAAGTCCATCATCTGGGTGGTGGATGATAACCTGAAAGCCCTGGCTTGACCACTACGCAATCTATGCATGCAACAAAACTGCACTTGTAATTTATGCAAGTTTTTAAAAAGAAAAAAGTTAAAGAAATGTTTAGGAAGAAATCGCTTATCCAAGTTTTCTCCTTTTAAATAAGGAGAAATAGACATTATAAACGGCAATGTTTTAAAATTTCACATACTTGAAAAAGAAGAATGAAATATATTTTTAAAAACGGAATTGTCATGTGATCCACATCTGGGTATATATTTAAAGGAATCAAAAGCAGGGTCTTGAAGAGATATTTGTGTCTGCATGTTTATAGCAGCATTATTCATTATGGCCACAATGTAGAAACAACCCAAGTGCCTACTGAGTGGATAAGCAAAATATGATGCATCCATACAATGGGATATTATCCAGCCCTAAAATGGAAGAAAGCTCCGACATATGCTACAACAGGATAGACCTTGAGAATACTATGCAAAGTGAAATAAGCAGGCTGGGCTCAGTGGCTCAGCCTGTCATCCTAGCACTTTGGGAGGCCAAGACGAGTGGATTGAATGAATCTGTGGGTTCAAAACCAGCCCAGGCAACTTGGCGAGACCTCATCTCCACAATAAAATCAAAATTAAATAGCTTGGCGTGGTAGTGCGCATCTGTAGTTCCGGCTGCTTGGAAGGCTGAGGAGGAAAGATCGCTGGAGCCCAGAAGGTCGACGCCGGGGTGGCCATAAGTGTGCCACTGCACTCCAGCCTGGACAACAGAGTGAGATTTAACTCAAACAAAAAAAAAAAAAGAAAGAAAGAAGAGACACAAGAAGACAAATATTGTATGATTCTAATTATATAAGGTTCTGAGAGTAATCAAAAACATAGAGACAGAAAGCAGAGTGATGGTTTCCAGGGGCCAGGAGGGGAGAATGGAAAGTTACTGTTTAGCAGGTGTAGAGTTTCAGAATCACAAGATGAAAGCATTCTGGAGATGCATGGTAGTAAAGATTGCACAACAATACGAATGCGCTTAATCTCGTCAAAACATGTACATAAAAATGGCTACAATAGTAATCTTTATAGTATGTGTATTATACAGCACAATGATAAATTGACGGTGAGGTAATAATTCCCCAAAACTGGAAGGAACAAAGTGTCCATCAGCTGGTGACTGGATTAGCAAACTGTGGTTCTATTGCTCAGCAACAAACAGGCACAAACTATCGCTACACACAACAACATGAGTGAATCTCTAATGGATGATGTTAAATGAAAGACCCCAGACTTAAAAAATTCTAAATATCCCAAATATACAAAATGGAAATTTAAAAATATGTTACATATCAAAATTGGTACAGGCCAGGTATGGTGGCTCACACCTGTAATCTCAGCTCTTTGGGAGGTCGAGGCAAGAGGATTGCGTGAGCTCAGGAGTCCAAAACCAGTCTGGGCAACATGACAAGACCTTGTCTCTACTATATATATATGTTTGTTTGTTTTTTGTTTTTTGTTTTTTTTTTAATTAGCCAGGCGTGGTGTGTCTGCCTGTAGTCCCAGCTACTTGGAAGACTGAGGCGGAAGAATTGCCTGAGCCTAGTAAGTCGAAGCTGTGGTGGCCATGATCATTCCACTGCTTTCCAGCCTGGGAGACAGAGTAGGACTCCAACTCAAAAAAAAAAAAAAAAAAATGGATACAGTCAGGCGCAGTGGTATATGCTTATAATCCCAGCTGCTTGAAAAGCTGAAACAGGAGGAGAGTAGCTTGAGCCCAAAAGTTTGAGACCAGCCTGGGCAACATAAGAAGGCTCCATCGCTAATATAGGTATATATATATGTGTGTGTGTGTATAAAAATTGGTACAGTACAGCTAAAGTGGTATTTAGAGGAGAATTCATAGCCTTAAGTGTTCATATTGAACAATAAAAAGTCTGAGAAAGTACCAGAGAAGACAAAAACAAATGATATTACTATTTTCTTCCTTTTTTTGTGAGAATGCAGGATTTATTAAGAAGACAGAAAAGCTTCCATAGCGGGAGGGGACCTGAAAGAGGTTGCCCGATATTACTATTTTCAAATATGGTCCGGTTCAATGAAAGGAACAGTCAACTGCTTCTCTACGCACTTAACCCTTAATCAGAGGGCAGTTTGGTCATAAGGAAGAACGATATGTTGTATACAATCATCCAGCTTTTGCAAGGAACGTCACTCATTGGATGTTGTGATTGAAATTATCAGAAGACTAAATATTAGTAGTGGTTTTGAAATTATCCATATTATCTTTTATCGCTTGTGAACACACACACACATACACACAAACTGGTTTTCTGGACAGTGTAGGACCACTCTTTTTTTTTTTTGAGTTGGAGTCTCACTCTGTCACCCAGACTGGAGTGCGGTGGCCGC